AAATAACTATCCAATAGAAATACTAATATATATAATCCAATAATAATTAATATAAATCTTATCCAATAAGATTGTTCGTTAAATGTCATATCATGACAATAACTTGAAGTAATTATAGTTGTATTAAAATTATATATATATAAATTAATAATAATATAATAATATATAAAGTATTATTTAATTTAAAACAAATATTATATAGTTAAATCTCTCTATAATTACATCTATTTATAGTTATATCTCTCTATAATCACTCTATTTTGCTTTCCTATTTATATATAAACATAGTAAAAAAATCTTTTTATAGTCATATTCTCTCTATAGTTACCAAATTTTGCTTTTTCGAGAATAATAACTATAGATAGATTTGATTATATTTATATATTGGAGAAAAATAGTTTTTTTATTATAAAAATTAATTCAAAAATAGAATTAGAAGAAAAATAATAATAATTATTACAAATAATATATTATTTATAATTAATATCTAATATTAAGAGAATTTTATATATTATACATATTTTATAATTAAGAATTTAATTTTAATTTAACTTTTTATATTATAAATCTAATATTTTGAATTTTTTAATCACAAATAGAAAAGTTATATTACATATAAAAAGAACTTAATTTTGAAAAATAAACTTAATATATTATTGTATAATAATCTTTTGTTATAATCTTTTATATTATTGGATTATATATATTTCATATCTTATTGGATAAAAATCAAATCATGTAAAGTAAGTAAATAAGTAAGCAAACAAGTAAACAAGCAAATAAACAAATAAGTAACTAAATAAATGAGTGAATGAATAAGTAAATGAATATTGGACCAATATAATTTAAGTAATATAATGAACATGAATTTATATAGCTGATAAATTATATCTTGAATTTATATAAAAGCAATATGTATCATAGTTATTAAAATTAAATATGAACAAGTCCTTTTAGATAGTAATTCTCAATTGTCAATTATTACATCTAATTAGTTATCATATAGTTTTGATCATTTAAAGAAGTAAAGTTTGCACTTTATGTAGAATAGGTAGTCAAGCACAAATTTCTCTCTATATCCTTTTAACAAAGTATTCATTTACTTGTATAATAGCTTTATAAGAAGTTATATAGATCTTGAATTAATATATATTATAGTAGCTTAAGCAAGATTACCAGGAACACTATAAAAGTTATCATCTTTATCCTAGACTTTCTAAATATATTGTGATAAAATCTATTAAATATTATATTAAATAAAGAAGTTATTATTATAATTCATAAATCTGTCTTTGAGATTGTATTGCTAATAATACATTGCTCATAAACTTACCTTTGACTTTGTATTATTAATAATATATTATTCATATACTTATCTTCAATCTCGTTTTGCTGATAATACAAATATTATATCTTATATTTTGATCTTTAAAAGATTTAAAGACATTTTTAATACATATATTATATTTGATATTGAGATTTTGAGAACTTTCTTTAGCAGTTTAGTTATTATATTAAAAGAATACAACTATTACCAATCTTTAAGTGATTCTTACAAGTACTTATCATACTTTAATTTATATTTAGTCTAAAGTTATAAAGTATTATTAAGACTGAGAATTGTCATTAAGACATTCGAATTTTCTCTTTAAATATTATAAATACTCTTGAGTATTTCAAAGTCCTATTAAAATGGTAACAATATCTATAAAATGAAATTTAACTTTTTTAGCTTGAAATTATTTAATTAATTTGAAATATATTATTTTATATTTATTAAAATATATATAATTTGATTTAAATAATCAAGTATGATTAAATAAAAAATATTTGAAAATATTATATTAATAATAAATAAATAAAAATTAATAAAAGCTTTTTTTGAAAACTTGAAGACTTTTAAAAATTGATAATAATATTAAATAATATTAATATCTAATTTTTAATTTAATCTATTCATATATCAAAGTTATTTTTAAAGAATTAAAAATTTTGAATAATTCAAATATTGATTTGACTTCTTGATTAAGAAATAAATTCAAAATTTAATCTGTAAATATGATAAATAAAAACTTAATTTACTATATTTATGGATTAAATTTTGAATTTACTCAAGAAGTTTATATATTTTATAAAATATAAATATTTGATAAATTTAGATAGTATATATAATATTTATAATAATAAATTACAAATTATTATTTCAATTTTCAACTCTTTCATAATAAATAATTGATCAAATAAAATTATTCAAGAATTTGATAAAAATAACAATTAATATCACTAAAAAAAACTTAGTGACAAATATATAAGATAACTATTAATAATATTTTATTTATAAATAATAAAATTATCCAATATGAGAATATATATCAAGTAATTCGTGAAGTGAATCCATTAGATTGGTGAAAAATGCAAAAAAACAATTATTAGCTAGTTAGAAAATATCTTGGAATTTTCAATACTTTAGTTTTTAGTGAGAGATTGTTTTCAGATATAGGAAATCAAATATCAGCTAAATAAATATATTTGAATTCACAGCTTGTTCAGGAAATGATGTTTTTTAAAGGAAATATGCAATTATTTAATATTTTTCTTTCTTTAAAATGGGATGTAAAGTAGATATTAATCATTGAAATAAGAAAATTTGTGATTAAAATAATGCAAAAATTTGTCATAAATTCTCTTTGACATTCAACATTTTTATTTTATGTCACTTGTCTGCAAAAAATCTTGTTTTCAGTTAGAAAAATTCTCTTTTTATCAAAAAATTTACTTTTTTGCCAAAATGATCTTTTGACTTCATTATTAATATAAGAATATAAATTCATGTTAATTCATTTCTGCATGTCAATAACACTACCCTGACTTGTCTGCTCACTACCTATTGCGATCTTGTTATTAGTCATTCTCATTTTTGAAAATAAAGTAATTTGTCAATGTTAGAAAATTTCTAATAATTGATTGTGCCAATTAGGTACATTCGCATGTGTTACTAACGTGATCGAACCAGACTTATCCGAAAAGAATAATCGTTGATTTTGACAAAGATTGTTCAAATAAGAAAAATATTGGTGATGAATATTTGAATAAGAATTATTTATTCGAATTCAACCACTACTTTCAAAGCTATGAAAATCTGGTCTTTCAATTCTAATAATTCTAATGCTATCAGTAATGATTATATATCTCCACTTCAGTGGCTTGTTCAACTATTCAAGTTCTTTTTATATCTGATGAAATGCTATCTTCCGCAAAACTTATATATGCCCTATCTGAGCCAGTGTTATTAAAGAAGTGAAATTGCTAAAGTTTGAGCTTGAATCTCTAAAGAATGAGAATAAGATACTAAGAAAGAAAATTCATCAATGAAACAAAATTATACATTAATAAAGGAAGAATTAGAAACTTTCAAGAATTCTGGCACCTCTTTATTAAAGCTAGTGCTCAAGTATTCTCGACCTAAAGAACAAGAATTTAGTGAACAATTAAAAATAAAAACTTTGCCATTTGCATGGCTTCTACTAGTGACGAATCTTGGCAGGCAATAAGAAATATGGATGAAATGGCGATTAAGAAAGCTGAGAATGTGAAGAAGAAAGAAGAGACTGCTCAAAAGCGAGCCAACCATGAGCTGGAGAAAGCACAGAAGCAAGAAGTTAGTGCACGCAAAAAAGAGGAAAGAATGTAGCAAATGAAAAAAAATTTCCGTTGATAAAGAAAATAATGGTTTAAGCTAGGTTTTGCCAACTTATCGTTATTTAGTAATAGAAAACGTATTTATGTTTTGATGTACATCATTCCGCCACATTACCCATAATCGTTGAAAATCATAATTTTTAGAGTGACTTCACGTAAAGACATGTAATAACGAAAATTTTAAAATAAAATCAACCTTTTTTTTGCCAGTTTAAAGTTAATCATGTCTAATACCCCCCTCTTACCTTATAAAGCGTGAGAAAATTTTTTCCCTTCCAATCAAAACAGTCCTTGCATTTTAAGTTGGCACAAATCTTGTATTATTTTTCAAAAATACATGTACAATCAATTAATTAGCTTTAAAATTTAGAAATAATCATTATAAAAAATTTAGATATTACATAGCTCAACAATTTCTATTGTTTATATTTTATTATATAATTTTGGTACATTTCCCAAATAGCGAATATTTATCAAATCTAGCTAGACACAAATTCTAATCAATTATTATTTTTGCGCCTGATAATGATACAGTATACATGTACATGTATTTCATTTGTACACACCCCGGCCCGGAAATTTCAAAAATGAATTTGTCACTCTGGATCCCGACATCGTGACATCCAGTGACCATTAGATTCGCCTCGACTATACGAATCTAATGGTAATATCTTTGTTCGAATGGAATCACTGGATGTAGAGATATCGGGATCCAAAGTGACAAATTCATTTTTGAAATTTCCGGTAATATATTGTAGGGGTGTGTATTTTTGAGATCAATGAACTCAAGAATATCAGCACTATTTGTAGAGTTTATTACGCTATTTTTAACCTCGAATTTCTTGTTTATTTAATAGTGAACGCAAATACGCGATTTCCGCTTTCTATTGTTGTGTAAAGATTGTATATTTTCTTTAATAACATTTTATTGATAAGCATGGTGTTATGGGAAATAGATCGACCAATTTTACTATTATTGGTGAAATGAGCACTATTTACGTATTACACAACATGTATTAAAATATTATTTATTACACTAATAAATATTGTTTATTACATTTCTATTATTTTCTAATACCTCAATTTTCCGGAAATTAAGTTGCAAATTTTCTATTTGTCTCTATTTTTTTTATACTCACAAATAATCCATTAGCGTCAACAACCACAATATTATTAATATTGTCATTATCATCATCTTCTATAGTTTCAATTCTTCCTTCGACAAAAGCTTTACGACCCTCCAAATCAGCGATTTTGACGTAGCATTTAATAATTGCGTCGGAAGGACATGGAGCACGGTAATTTATGTTGAGATAAACTGTTGCTGCGTTTTTTTCTGGGAAACATGGAATTACCTGTTTTTTATGTATTCCAAAAAATAAATTTTTTTGCTATATAAATGTAAGTAAAAATTCTGTTGCTACTCACCAATCTCGCAAACATCTCATCTGCCACAGTAGCTAACAATCCACCATGCGCAATTCCCTCATGTCCACTCAAATCCCTACCAATATGCTGGAACCCGACCAACTCTCTAGTTTGCAAATTTAAAAAAACGATTGGTGACACCGCAAACTTGCCTGGGCCCATTAAAGTTCTCGCGGTGAAAGGGTGGTAATGTGTTTGCTCGTTTAGCGATGAGAAGCCGCGAGTTTGTACGAATTCCGGGTGGGCTAAAAGTGATTTTACTTCGGGAAGCGATAGTATTTTGGCGTTTAGGTTTTTTGTGTAGGTGTCGTAGTCGTAATCATTATTTTTTGTTGGTTCTTGTTCTCTATGGGGTTTTTTAAAATGTCGGGAAGGTTTAGGTGGTGGTAATGGGCGAAGTGGGATCGATGAAGATGTGGTGGTTGATGAGAATCGAGAATGCGTATTTCGAAGAATGAGATATCGTAGGGGATTGATGTTTATTGTTTTAGAAATAACGCATTTATTTGATAAGGTATATAATGCATTCTTTAGATTACTTGGTAATAAAAGAGCCATAATCTTACTAATAACAAGAACGAAGTGAATTATATTTTTCGATTTGTTCGCTAAGCGTTTCAATTTATAGAGAAATAAGGCATCGTATCACAATCCTTAATTTACATTAATCATTTGGCAATGAACTCGCATTATATGCATTTTTCATTTGACACATCGATATGCATTTGGATTATACGTAATTGTGGTATGGTGCATAACGATAATATCAATAGCGGTACATGTAGATTGTATTTTATAAATTCAATAAACCACTTTACTAAGACAAAATTTAATCCGTGAATATGCTCAAGAAAAGTCTATTCTATCATATTCACGGATTAAATTCTGTATTAACTTGGTAAGTAGCTTATTGAATTTATAAAATACATGTTCAATCTATCGCTATCGATACTATCGTTATGCATCATACCCAATGGTTTCACGTGAGCACAATTAATATAGCCAATCAGTATTAATTATTTTATACTTGAATTCTATTGGTTAAAAGTGAAATCACTATTAATTACTGCAATTTCAAATTTGGCGCTGAACTGGATACGTATTTCAAATATCACATGCTGTACATGTATCATTTCATTGATGCGGAACAAATAAAAAGTTAAGTTCGATCGCCACCGGTTTTTCGATTTTTCGATTTTTCCTGGTAGACGGAATCGTGCAGTTAAAATTTGCCGATTTATACATGTACTTGCATGTACATACGTACATACTTAATAATGATTATTTTCCTTGCCTATAAGAGAAAATAAAATACTAATACGTAGTTGTAAAATAATGTATATAATAAGGATGAGAATTAAAGAAAAACATCAAATTATCAATCAAATTTATAAATGTAAAAATACCAATAAACGAACATGGGATCAAAGTATTTGTTTAAGCCCACCTATGATCATTCAAGTGACAATGATAACGATAAAGATGATTAATAGCGGCAAAACAAAAAAAAATAGACATATTATTCATATCAAATCTCCAATGCATCAACCAACAACAGCATTAATCTGTTCTGAAATCAAATCACTCAATGTGTCAAGCAAAAGAGTTTGTGTAAAGTGCAGATATATCTATCTATCTCACGCTATACACGATAATATATGAGGTTATTTCCTGTCGCAGGATTAAATTTAGATCTTACAAGTTTTGTATATAAAAGATTGTGTATTTTGTGCCTATCTAGCTGTAGAATTATATATTTCTTATCTATATTTTCTAGGATTTGGTATTTTTTATTTTATTACTAAATTTAAATTATTTAAAAAACGATGAGTGACGTTGAAAAGCAAGACGAGGTGGTGAAACATGAGAGTAGCGAGGTTGATTTTTTTTATCTATTTTTTATTCTCATACTATAAAAAAATATTAAAAATATACTATAATAAATAGGAAAAAGAATCTTCTCCTCCACCTGCTAAGAGGAAAAGAGTATCAAGTGGTGGTGGAAATAATAGCACAAAGAAATCTAAATCACCCACCAGCAGCAGCAAAAAATCAACCAAAAACGTAGCTACCACCGCGACAAATCCATCCAACTCACCAAATAAAAACGGTAATGAAACCCCCACCACTGGCGGCAGCGGTAACAATAATGAAACGACCGCAACTACAACAAAAAAGAAATCGAGTGGCACGTCTGGTGCAAAATGGACATCGGACGAAGATCAAATTCTTCTCGGAGAAATATTTAATTTGTTACCACCGATTCCTTGGGCGCAAATCGCAGAAAAATTAGAAAGTCGTGACGCGACTAGTGCCAAGAATAGATGGGCTAGCATTCGACGACAGGTTGCTAAAGGCACGAGTCCGATTCTTTCTTCGGCTAGTAATAATTCTAATGAAATGAGTAATAATTGAAGTGATTTGGTCGTAATTGTGGTGTACGTTAGTAGTAATAGATTGAAATTTGAATCTTTATATTTTGGATTATATTTTTTTCTCTTTTTTATTGTTATATTCTGTAAAGTTGATAGAAATCAAATATTTTGCTGGTTTGTATGTACCAAATTAATAACATCTAATTATTTGCTATGTTTCGTAATACGTATACATGTTTACGTGTTTTAATAAACATAAATTTTTTGATAGAATTACATTAACGAATAAAATTTTACATTAAACATGTCGCAAAATACGTATTCATAAAACTATCGCTATTGATTCTCCGAAGAAATTAACGTTTAACGTAAATGGAAAACAAATTATGATAGTCCTTAAATATTTCTTTTTCCATTCTAGAAACAGTTCATAACAACCAAAAAGTAGAATATTCGACACAATCATTTAGTTTTGGATTTGTTCTTTATTTTTTGAGATAAATATTTTCGTATCAAGTTTGATTGATCTCTTCGATTCTTACATTGATAGATTGACGAGACTTGATAAAAGTAAGGTAGTTAGTTACTTGGCGAAATAAATCTTTGTATATTTGATAACAATTATTTTCTTATAAACAAAAGAAAAACCAATACGTACGTAATAACAAATTTGCTTATCGTGATTATTGATAGATATTAATTGTAAGTTATTACTATATTATTATTTAGAGTCATCAAAAAAGCCAAACAAAAAAGTGAATAATATTTTTCTTAATATTAATTACTCTTTCCCTAAAAATATGTTTGGGTCAACATAGAACTATCATATCGGGGAAGAAGTGAGACTTAAACGTTGTCAAATAAATGTAAATATGAAATGCATGTGCTGTAATTTTTGGACGATGATGCTTACATCGAGCAATTTGTAGGCTCTACGACGAAGGATGGAAAGCAAGTTATCATTAGGAACCATAACCTCAAGAAATTCTGTACAAACAAATATCACCAATTGCAATCTTCCTAATCCCTGGACATATGAAGAGAACCGTCTTCTGCTAGAGCATATTTTTAGTGCTCGTCCTGTTTCTTCACCAGATAACCAACATAATGAGAACGCCAAAAATCGGACACGTAGAAAAAAAGTTTCTTTGGTTAAGACGAGGCAGCAAGTATTTGAACTTTGGAGTCGGGGGACTTCGATGGTGATTGGAAGGGGAAAGAAAAAGAATCGAGACTAATTTTTATTTTTGATAAATGGAGAGAAAAGCGGCTTTTAATGAATTTATTTTACAAGTGTGATATATAAAAATTATAATAGATGGATGGGTATTTTTTGTTAGTTGTTTCTTTGTAAATTTTTTTCAGAATTTTTTTGTATCAATTTCTTTATAATTCGACCCAATAGACCAAACTTTTCACACTAGTCATACCTCCATATCGTCACCCTCCATATAAACATATCATGAAAAACCTCTAAGCACATTTGCAGAGTTTTAGAATAGTCAAATTTATACGAAAAAACTAATGAGCCCAACTGTGACTATATGGAGGTATGATTGAACAGTGCTCGTCAGAAGTAATGTTCCCCCTTAACTTTCCATAGATCATGTGCAATGTACCAAAATTTTCCGAGCACAAAGAACATTACAAATGCTGATCGTTGATACCTTTTATAGATCAGTAGAGCTTCTATATCGGGTATTGTATGTTCATGCCCAAATACAATAAATCGGTCACTTTAGGACATAATATCTCGACGTCTAGTGATCCAATTTGAGTGAGAAATAATACCATACAATTTGCCTAATCCAGGCAAATCAAATGGTGGTATTTTCACTCAAATTGGACCAATAGACGTCGAGATATTATGTCCTAAAGTGACCGATTCATATTTGTCGATCAATTTTTCATTAGAAATTGATCACCAAAAAAATGAATCAGCCAATTTAGGACGTAACGGTAATATCTTCACCTTCAGTGATCCGATTCGAACAAAAGTAATATATACCATTCGATTTGTCTAGTCAAGACGATTCGAATGGTATTAATTTTTGTTCGAATCGGATCACTGAAGGTGAAGATATTACCGTTACGTCCTAAATTGGCTGATTCATTTTGTTAGTATCAAAAAAATGCATCTGCTATTTTAAGACGCAATATTTCGACGTCCAGTGACCCGATTTGAACAAAAATAATACTGTTCGATTCACCTCGACTAGGCGAATCGAATGGTAGTATTTTTGTTCAAATCGGGTCACTGGACGTCAAGAATTAGATTATTGAATATTAAAATGTGTTATTAAATAACTGATTATACATGTATGTATTTAGGGCGTGAACATTCAACACCCAATATAAAAGCTTTACCAATCTATAAAAGGTTTCAACGATCAGCATTAATGTTCTTTGTGCTCGGAAATTTTAGTACATTACACATGATCTATGGAAAGTTAAGGGGGGTACGCTACTTCTGACGAGAACTGTATATACATAAAAAGCACTTTGGGTTTGATGGAGCAAGCCTTTATGCTAACCAAATAGATTGATATATTTACAGTGCAGCCATAAACTTTAGGTGACACCAATCGTGTGTTTGTTTTGATTTTTTAAACAAATTTCTCGACGGAAGATTAACACCTTTGCGAACACTAAAATCCATTGCCGCCCAACTGGGGACACGTATCGTGACATTGCAAGACTGTTGGTTGTGGAGTGACCACAGTCTCGGATATTATGCACAGACTAGAATCATTAACTCAAAACCTCGTTTTGGACGCACGCCCCTCTGAACGGAATCAGTTCAAACGGTAATTGAGGTTCAGGGTCCAAGTAGATATTGATACAATGCACAACACTTAAAGACGGAAATCAAATTGATGATCTTTGAAAGCTAATACATGTAGCACATTACAGAGAGGCTACCAATTTGTAGTTAAACTAATTTACTATACTTAGCAATAAAGATACCCTGTTTTCATATTAATGGGACAAGCCATAAATTATATTATCTTTGATTTTATTGGCTGTTGTGCTAATTATAAAATATGCTGATGTGCATATATGACATTTCACAATATTCTTCGGATTCAGGAAGAGTGTACATAAATTATATAATACCATTTTATATAACCTAATTAAGTGTTATAGTGTTTTAGTGATTATATTAGAGATTATAAGAGTCTTGTGAGACCTATTAGATTTTATCAACTATATACTTAGAATATCACGGTTCATTTTTGTGTATTGGATCTTTGGAGCAATATATATGATGAATGAATAATAAGAATGGAAGAGACGATTAATTTTTCATATGGATATTATTTTCGTGATATGAGGGATAAGAGTGTGGAAAAGAGTAATGTAGTCGAGTTCGGAGCGTTGCTGTTTATGTATAGACTGTACTGTCTGCAAAGCAAAATCGGATATGCAGGGCTTATCTGGGAATATTGTTTTCGAACTTGCCTAATTGTGAGATTATCTCAATAAGCATTCAGCCGATTACTTAACACGAAGTTTCCCAAGCATTGGAACCAAATTATTTTCAACATTGAATATATATCGCAATAGTCTACAAAGATGGAATTTACGATTGCAGAGTCAAGGACCAAATTATCCTGCTAGCATCAATTGATACCGGTTCTTGTATAAACGTTATTAAAAAGAAAATTGTCAATGATTTGAGCATAGAAATCAGTTGAAAGCTATCTGGATCACCAAGAAATACACCAGACACAAGAGAAAGAATATTACCAACGAAAGGGTATTATTCCAGAACTTCGGCAGATTCTCAATTAATGGATCTATTTTTGATGAATTGCAATTGAAAAACAATAAATGATTAATTTATTGGGCACTCAGAAATTACATTGTCAATCAAGATTTCCACAAAGTTGTAATGAAACAACGGCTATCAAAAAGTTAAGCCACATTAGTTTATACTATCAGGCGTCAAGAAAGACTTCCTCAAACAGTCAAGTTTCTCATTATTCGTTGGGTAAGTATCAAGGACATTTTATTTGATCAGGATTTTTAAAGTGGGAACGTAGGTTACCCTTTTCCGGTTCAGTCAAAGCGAGTTGAGTAATCACGTTATAGATTTTTGTTGTAGTAGACATGTTGCAGGTTTGGATAAAAGGATACGAGAAAGAAAATTTTTTGCAGAAAGGGAGATTGTATAATAAATATGAGAAATACCATCAAATCCCCAAAAAATACAAGATTTTGAAACTTACCTTTGCGTTGATCCACGTGACCACATGTGTATAAAGGTTGCTTTTAAGATTATGGTTAAAGTTAGAATTAGAGACAAGCTATATATAAAATTGCCTTCCCGACATTTTTAATAGTGCTTCAAAACAGATTTAAGCATCAGTTTTCATTTTTCGTTCGCGCTTCGGATTTGTTTTGCCGGGTTGAGCAAACGTTTACGCATCCTTATTGGTTTGTGTTTCGGACTGATCACCGGAGGTACAACGCTTTATCGCATACGTACACAGTAGATCAGCCGATCAAAAAATTAGAACAGGCAGGCTGTCATCTTTTTTTCAAAATTCTTAATACATGTATCTTAATATTGTAAAAATGGACCACAACGCCAACCCTCAATATTCCGGCAGTCCAAAAGTGCGCGCTTCCTATACCGCTCAAGAGAATGCCGACTTGAGAGAATATTTAATGCAAAAAAGAAGAGAAGGGTCGCCCTTGCGCGGCAACCTCATATATTTGAATTATCCTGGTTTAAACGGTCGCCACCCTTGGCAATCTATTAGAGATCATGCAATAAAATTTATTATGCCAAAGTTGCCTCCTGTGACGGATGAAAGAGCGAGTGTCTCAACAACGCCAATGGTCAACGAACAAGAACAAACACATAATACTATCCCTGTCCAAATAACTAATCAAGAACTTCAGCAGGAAATTGATGCTGATAATGCGCCTTCTCTTGTAATTAGTACTAGCGCAACACCAACTCGTTCTGACAACGGCGAAACTCAAGGAAAGGACGTTGTTCAACAAAACACTTCTATATTACAAATAAACGATAACCATGAACTGCGAGAGCAAAATAGCTTTAATGTCACACCAATTAAATCTGAGTCAGGCGGTGCTTATAGTACGCCCGTAAAGCAGATACGATGTAGCAGGAATTTGCGTAGTTCTAACGTCACACCAACACGACCTGTTAATAACAACTATAGGGAAAGTCAAGAACAAAGTGATAACTTTAGCACTTCAAGACAATCATCTGCTACTCTTGAATCCGAAAATGATGATGATGATTATGACGACGATGATGGACAATCTATACTACAAATAAATGATAACCATGAACTGCGAGAGCAAAATAGCTTTAATGTCACACCAATTAAATCTGAGTCAGGCGGTGCTTATAGTAC